AATATGTGTTTAATTTATATAAATAAAAAATATTTTTACATATAAATAAGATAATCGCAAAAAGTAAAACAATTAAAAAAATTAAAATATAATTAAAATTAAGTAAATCAAGACAAAAACTAAAAAGAATACAATTGGAGTTTTCAATGGAAGGGACAACTTTGGAGGGTCTAATCAAGCAAAGCGGCAACGCATGCACCGACAATGCAAAACTAGCCACAAATATAAAGTTCTAGAGATAAAGATTTTGTTATTGTTACTGAATTTGGAGTTTTCAATGATAGGGACAACTTTGGAGGGTCTTCAGGCAACTGCAACGCACGACAATGCGAAACTAGTCACAAATATAAAGTTCCGGATATAAAGATGTTGTTTTTTTTTTTTTTGGTAGAAAAAGGAGATATATTGATAATTAGCTGGCTACAATCGTTCTTGGGAAGGAAGTCCCAATTAAGTCATGATACAAAATGGAAGAAAGCCCAGGCGGACTTTCCTCATACAAGACAAAATCATTAGCACTAGTAGATCCAAGTTTAGCAAGAAAATCAGCAGCCGCATTAGCTTCCCTATATATATGGGAGATCCTAGCATCCGTAAAGAGGCGTAGAAGCCATCTGCAATCAGAAATAAGAGTTCCAAGTGAGTGCAAAGTAGTATCAATAGACTCAATAAGTAAAACAGCAACTTTTGAGTCAGTTTCCACAATAGTTTTAGAGATTCCTTTCCCAGCAGCAATTTCCAAGCCATCTCTAATAGCCCATAATTCTGCAGCAATACTTGTGGTCCATCCAATGCTTCGTGAGAAGCCAACCATCCATCTGCCAAGATGGTCACGTAGCAAGCCTCCTGCCCCAGCTATACCAGGATTAGTAAGGGCAGAACCATCTGTATTTAATTTAGCAAAACCTGGAGAGGGAGGTGACCAGCCCACAGAAACAATGGTTTTAGGTTGAAAGGTAGTAAGAGCAGGTTGAAGTCTAATGAATTCCTGTGCTCTATCCAAAGTAGAACATTTCAGATCGAAAATAGAGATATGTTTGTTATCATGCACAAGCTGATTTCTAGAATACCAGATGGACCAAACAGCATATGAAAAAACAGTAGGCCAAGTGGAAGATGATGGAGGAGAATTATGTACACCGACATTGACCTTAATCCAGCTTTTGAAATCAAGATTTTGATTGTATGTTGAAATGGATTGAGGAATAATAGAGTTCCAAAAGAGTGCAGCATACTGACATTCCCTAAAAATATGAGTAAGAGTTTCAGGACCATTTCTACATCTAGGGCACCTATTATTAGAAACCACACCCCATTGAGCAAGAGTATCAAAGGTGAGGATTCTACCATGCATAACAAGCCATAGAAATTATTTAATTTTGGGAATGGTACAAACATTCCAGATCCAAGACCAGTCCTCCATCTGCGTCCACTGAATATTTTTTGCCATAAAGTATGCAGATTTCATGGAAAATTTGTCATTGGCCGAAGAATTCCACCTAAAGGAGTCTTGCTCAGCACTATGCCTCTGAAAAGCAATGGCCATAGTTTTCTGGATGATGTCCTGAGGTAAAGGATAAGCAACAGCATCAAATTCCATTTACCATTAGGAAAAAGAAGATCCTTCACAGTAATGTCCAAATCATGTGGTCTAAAAGGGCCATAAAAAACAGAACAAAGAGATTCCTTTAGAATCCATCTATCCTGCCAGAAATTGATTTTGGAGCCATTAGGTGGAACCCAGCTGATGCCTTTGTCAACAATATCTTTCCCTTTAGGGATGTCTTTGCAAATGGGGGAGGATGATCGAGAAAAATTATGGTAGGGAAGGTCAATCTTATATTTGGATATGAATGCTTTGGCCCAAGGTTTTTGAACTTCAGTAATCATCCTCCAGTGAAGTTTGGCCATGGCAGCTTGGTTTACTTCACTGCTAACTCTAATGCCAATACCCTCAGCTTTCCTAGGTTGAGAGTAATCCTATCCCAAGAAATAAGATTGGCTTTCCTCTTGGTTGAAGTACAACCCCAAATGAAATTTCAAGAGATGGTATCAAGCTCCTTATGAATACATGCAGGAAAAAACATACCCTGCATATAGTAATTAGGAATTGAAGAGAGGACAGATGTGGCCAAAGTAACTCTTCCAGCAAGCGAGAGCATATTTGCTTTCCACCCCGCAAGTTTAGATTTGACCTTGTCAACAATAAAATTACAGTCAGATTTTTTGATCCTCCTAAAGGTAATAGGGAAGCCAAGATATTTTCCCAAAGAGGGAGTTTCCATATAACCAAGAGTATGACATATAGCAAGCTTGATATCAGGATTAACATTTGCAAAGAAAAGGATTTTAGATTTCTCTTGATTGATGTTCTGACCTAAGCGAATACAAAAGAAATCAAGTAATCCCTTGAGAAATAAAGAATTGGAAATCGTAGCTTTGCCAATAAGAATAAGATCATCTGCAAAAAATATATGAGAGAAATAGGGACCAGATTTGCCCAATTTAGAGCCTCTCCAAATGCCAACATCAGTACTGTGATGAAGCTTTAAAGAGAGATATTCCAAACAAAGTATAAACAGATAAGGTGAGAGAGGGTTCCCTTGCCTTAAACCTCGAGTAGGTTTAAAGGAATCTAGAACACTTCCATTAATAACGCAAGAGAAGGAAGCCAAAGAAATACAAGACATAATAAGCTTGATCAACAAAGGAGGAAAATTGAAGAATATAAGAGTTTACCTAATGAAACTCCACTCAAGGCGATCATATGCCTTCTCCAAGTCCAACTTAATAATCATGTCACCCTATCTCCCTTTTCTTTTTTTAAAAGAAAAGACAAAATCCCGGAGAAGGGTGACATTGTCAATACCATTACGCCCAGGAATAAAGCTGGATTGCATTGGAGAAATCAATTCTCCAATAAGATTCTTAAGGCAGAAGACAATAATTTTTTTGACAATCTTATAAGAGGTGTTGCAAAGGCCAATAGGTCTAAAATGAGAAACAGAGTCAGGCTTATTGTTTTTAGGGATGAGAGTAGTCAAGCTAGCGCTCCAAGACTCAAGTATAATGCCAGAGTTAAAGATATCCCTAATCTCCAAACAAATTCTTTCCTTAAGAATAAGGAAGTATTTTTGAAAAAAAGCTACATGTAGTCCATCAGGACTAGGTGCCTTAAAAGGCTTCATAGCAAAAAGAGCATGTTTAATCGCAAACTCTGAGGGAAGGTCAATCAATCCATGCCAACAAGAAGGATCAATAAAGGGGGCACTTTGAACACTACTATAAGAGTCATGGGAGGATTTAAGAAAAGAAGTCTTGTAGAGACTCTTAAAATAGGAGGTAATAATACTTTCAATGACAGTAGCATCAGTAATCCAAGAACCGGTATCATCTTTGAGTCCCAAAATACGATAGTATGATCTGCGTTTCAAAGTAGACACATGAAAAAATTTTGTGTTTCTGTCACCATTCTGGATCCACTGGAGCCGAGATTTCATGAACCACATGTCTTTCTCATACTTGAGAATATCCTGATATTCTTTAGAAAGAGTTTTTTCCAAATCTATGAGAAAGGAACTGTTCTTGGATTGAAGGGTTTGTTGAATACCTCCTAGTCGCACAATGAGTTTCTTCTTCTTTTTATGAAGGTTATCAAAAGTAGCTCTACTCCAAAGCTTAACATTGTTTTGAAAAACAATGGAGCAATCAGAGATAGATAGATTAGGTGAAGTCCAATTTGAGGCTACAAGATCTTTAAAAGACTCATGTTCGAGCCAAAATTTCTCAAGTCTAAAAGGCTTCCTGTTTGAGCAGGGAAAAGATTGCTCCAAGGAAAAGATTGCTCAAGTGAAAGTAATATAGGGCAATGATCAGAATAAACACGAGGAAGATGAATCAAAGTAGCCTCGGGAAAGAGGATCTTCCAAGCGGGATTAGCCCAAGTTCTATCAAGCCTCTCTCTAATGAGCTGATGATTGTCTCTTTTGTTGACCCAAGTAAATTTCGGACCAATAAAACCAATATCTAGTAAGTCACAGGAATTCATGCAATCAGTGTAGGCACGAATACGATACTGGGGGACAAGATTGCCACCAAATTTTTCATTCTGAGCAGTAACATCATTAAAGTCCCCAATAACTACGCATGGACCATTGATAGATTGGGAAAATTGTTTTAAGTTTTCCCAAAGGAGAGACCTAATCTCAAACTGAGGACGACCATAGACAACAGATAAAAACCAATGAAAATTAAAAAAGGAAGGATGGGATTTTACCTGGACATTGGCGTGGATGGCTTGCGGTCCTACATTAAGAATGTCTATAGTATACTTCGTGTCATCCCACAATAGCCAAATACCCCCAGCAAAGCCATCTGAGTCGACTATGACCTTTTTAGGAAATCTTAGGGCTTTAGCAGCTTTTTTAACTCTTTCTCCTGCCAACTTCGTTTCCATAATAACAAGGATACCTGGATTATGTTGATTAATGATATCTATCGCATTCCGCTTAAACTCTTGATTAGCCGCCCCGCGGCAGTTCCATGACATGATCTTCATGGTCCAGGTACGTCTATTGAAGGTGGTCATAACCCACCTGGCAAGATCCTGGAGCCACTTCGACTGACCTTCCTTGCTCATAACCATCATATTGACTCTTGGGAAGTAGTAAGGTAGCACAATCTGTTGGTACTGGAGCATAGAATTCTATGCTTCCTCCTTCGTGACCACCAGATGCACTGTCTTCATGCATCCTATCATCCTGAATAGACAAAGGTAAGGTTGTTCTACCAGCAACGTGAATCGCTTGGGAGCTATCGGCTCTGACCAATCATCCCATCTCACTATCTTCGCTAGTGATGACCAAATAGCCTTCCGAAGGATGCATGAGTCTAGAGACAGGTGTTCCAGAGGTAGAGGAATCCCTTCCATTGGTGGGGGAAGAAAAGGATTGGGATATACTCCTTTCATTATAAGAATGGGATTCAGCCAACAGTTCAGGATCATTTCCAATGTCCATCCCTCGATCGACTCCGGATTCTTGTTGAGGACTAATGACAACGCCTTCTCTATTGGGATTGCTTGATTGTTCCTGTTGATTAGCAGTACATCCCACAAGTGACCTAGCTTGGTGAAGGTGATTGGATCCATGATCCGAAGTTCCAGTGGAGGGGGTTGATTTCGTGAAAGGATGATTCCGGACATTTTGTGAGATTTTTGGTTGGGAACCATATTTTTTAAAAGAGGAAGCCTTTCCACGTGCCACAAATGGTGACAATGAAATCTTATCTGAAACAATAGCTTTATCAGCTATAGTCTTTGTGCGGACCTGCAAAGAAACATTGGGTCCATTAGAGCTAGGTGAAGTGATAATTGAACCCATAGTTACCTGATTGGCCTGGTCGGTATTTCGATGGGCTAGTGTGTTGTTGACGTCCCCATCTTGGGCCAAAGGAGAAGAGCTCGAATTATGAGCTTTAGAAATTGAATTAGAAGGTTGAATGGCTGCATTTGAATCGTTGGAGTTAACAGTCACCGCATTAATAGCAATGTCAGAAATAACGTTCCCTTTTGAGTTTGGTACTCGTGACCCGTTTCTTGTCCCGTGAGTCGACTCACTGAGTGACTCAAGTGATTATTGTTTACCTTTTTCTTGTTCTTTCGCCTCTCCACCAGCATCCATGGTCCAAACCCTTGGTTCGCAGGTGGCTCATTACAATTTCCATCAATAGAAGTTTGTGAAGTTTGAGCTTCAATATTTTGTTCATTAGAAACAGCCATAGGTTGTGGGACTTTGAGAGGGCAATTATCCTCTTTATGCCCCACACACCCATAGGAGTAGCATAAAGCAGCAGGTCCCTCATAAAGAACCTTTTGGACATGTTTGCCAATACGTACAAAAGGTACCAAGGTTCATCAAGATCGACTTGTACACAGATTCTTGCATATTGGCCTCTTGATTGGTGGGTAGTATGAGCATCTAGCCGAAGCGGAGTACCCAACATATTGCCAATACGCTGAAGGATTTGTACATCATAGCATTCAATAGGAAGGCGCGGGAGTCTAGCCCATATAGCTGTGGTCGTGAAGGTGGCTTTTGCTGGATCAAATGAAGGCTCCCACTTTCTAATTGTGAGAAAGTGGGGATCGACAAACCAAGGTCCCCCATGAAGAACACGGTTCAGATCTTCCTTCTCATGGAAACGAATAAGAAAGAAGTCTAAACCCAGATCAATGCAATCCATTTTGCCTCTCGGTTTCCACTGAGCTTTGATCCTAGGAAGGATGAAGTTATAGCCAGCTCTTTTTGTGCCAAAGGCTTTTATAATTATGGAATTGAGCCATGGCATTCGAATCCTTCTCTTTTCTTCTTTCGAGATGAGTATAGTAGGGATAGACCCATCATCTTCATAATCTGAATCTTCGTCCAGAATTTCCTCTCTATTTGAGCTATCACAGAGGATTGCAACAGGTTCCAGACAAGAGACCATGTCTCTGTATGATAATTGCTTTGGTGGGGCTTCATATAGTTGATATTCCTCAGCAATAGGGGGGTTACCATCCCCTTTAATACGTTTGACGGAGCGAATTAAGAGATCGGCCTCTTGAGGATTAGGAGTTTGGTTTGCTGTATCAGACATGAATTCAAGAGAGAAGGCAGAGCAAAAAAGCTAGTTCCTTTTCTCAACTTTACATCATCCACACAAGGTTTTTTTCCCCCAAAGTCAATGTTCA